GACGGTCACGGAAAGTTCTCGACGGTCCACATCGATTTAGGTGTCTACCTAACGCACAGTTTCCTTTTTTGCAGAAGCACAGTGTTTTTAATCAATATGGCGTTAAACTTGGATGGATGTGGACATGCTTTATTGTTGGGCCTTTCATTTGGTTTTCTTCACGAGCTCATCATCGGTATTTTACTTAATTTTCCTGAGGAGCATGAGAAAATTATCACATCGTGAAATGGACTCGCTCGTTTGAGAATATGAATAAAGACACCTCTATCACAAGACGGCCGCGATAGTGCAACCCGTAGAATGGTGATATTTTTCGGCCTAAACTTCACTTATAGGACCTATCCAATGCTCTCATCACAAATATGACATTGTTTTTGAATCTTGCTTCGTTATGCGTTAGTTTCACCCAAAATAATGTGAAAGTGACGCTGTATAGCATCATCGTCATAAACAGTAGTCATATTCGTGACCAGGACGCTAGATGCTCCCATACATGCATAACACCAAGAGAATGTTCAAGTTCTTGATCAGGGCATCCAATCGGCGAAACTCCAGAGAAGATTTTTTGTCTTTTTTCGGGGATTGTAGTCGTCCATTTCACGTGCTGCTTATTGCTCCTCAGTCTTTTCTACTTATAGTGATTTCTTCTCTGTTCTCCTGTTATCCTTAATACTTCGTCTGGTTCAGGGACAAGGACAAATCCATAATTGATATTTTGCGGCTAGCAGTTGCGACATTTTGCTGGTATGCCAGCATTTGGCAGTGAGTGTTCAACGTTTCTTTATCATTATGAAAAGTGAAAACGCAATTGATGTTTATTCTCAAGTCAACAGGTTTCAAAAGAAAAGAAATCTTCCGAAGCTTAAAGCCTTTTTTACCGGTGTTTGTTGCTAGAATGGTTGGTTGTGATGTAGGCTCCCGATGAATGTTAAGAATTTAAGTATTGTGTAGTCTTCAGCACTCATTGTGGGAGTGTTTCGTTTTCAGAACATCCCCTTCAAAAGACCTGGATGAAACATATTTTCTTTTTTTATCTTTTTACGTATCATCTTGACTTTAGCCATTCTGAGTCTGGGTTCAGTAAAGGTACGGTAGTATGATGTTTCTTCAAGTTAAGTTATATGCTTGCAGATTTCATCGATTGATGCAATGGACTTCTCGTTGTGACCTCAGTATTCGATATTCTCGAACGATGTGCAAAGAGAAAGGTGGTGTATGGATTCCAGGATTCGACATTTCTGGACACTGCTTCCTCTTGATATACAGCATGCTGGTAATGGCAGAAGAGGTTGGTAGATATGGTACAGAATACAAACTACAAACAAGACATTCAATTGCGAGAGCTTTTGAAATCGCTCTACAGATCGGTATCCCTTGTTTTATACCGTGTTTCCTACCCTTGGGATTTAGTCATCGTACGTTAGGAGGGCGCTTAACGTTTCCTGTCAGCTTTGGTCTCCATGCCCATACTTGGGCTGCCGTCAGGAGACCAGAGGTCTTGAACTTACTGCAAAGTGTAGTTTGTATACCGGACTAAATTGCGTGAAGTCCATCGCAGCACCTTCAATGTTGAAAATTAACAAATTTCTGATTGCGAAGTGGTTTTATACATACTCCTGGTCAGCTGAAGAAGTGACGCTTTGCGATTGCAAATTCTGATGGGGTGTTGAGTTCCAGTTTTGCTTTGCCCGATCGAACTTTTTGCTTATTCTAATTTGTTAGGTGAAAATAGCTCCAAGATAAAAAGAAATGTGAGCTTTCTTATTCGACAGTCTTTGGTCTCTACATTGGAGTCGTTTCACTCTTGACTTTTCGTCAGCTTATTAAAATGAAAAGGAATAAAATAAAAAACTAGAAAGTAATTCGTCTGCAGATATGTATAAAGAGGAAGATTAATCGAGGATCCTAAATCTGCCCGCTACAGTAATACAGTATTAATAAGTAAGGTTGTGCGAATCTTTCTGAGGTGATTTATGCGGATCCTCTACAATTCCTTGGCGAAACTAATATAATTTAGGATCCTTTTCCGATTTTTACATGAGATTTCATCTACTGCAATACCGTATCTTATACTGTGCTTTAACTTGCAGGCACATGCATTCCGAGAGTGGCAGCAGGTCGTTCATCGTGACGACGACTGTGGTATTGTAATGAGAGAGCGACAGGAGAGGCGAGTGAAGCTAGCGCAATACTTCGTTGTTGGCATGCTTCTTTTGAACATTGTTTGGGTAAGCAATCATAGTTATACAAGTAGTTTATACCGAATTTCGCCAAGCTTTTCATAAATGGAACTTTGAAAAAAACCATCGTAAGTATTCTTCTTCATTCTCTCTTCTTCGGTAAACTGAAATTTTTTGGGTAAGATTTTCCACCTCTCTTGAGGTGAGTAACCTTGTCTCGTTAGAATACTGATTACAACAAATAGTTTTTTTTTTCAACTGAACCGTACTAATCTTCTATTGGAAAAAAAGGAAATCAATGCTTCAGAGATCGATGTTTTACATTCTTCAATTCTTTTGATTATGACTTTTTTGCTACATTACTGTAGGAATTCGATAGCATGGCCTAGAACATAAGGATTGCAGCTGAGCGTTGTGTCGCTCGACGTTAATGGGTCCCTTCTTTAACAGTTTGCGATCGGCTGCTGCGGACATATTCATTGAGATGAAATTATATTTTGCCGCTTTTATTAGTCTCAGGTCACGGTTAGAACGCCGGAGATCAAATTTTGAAGGAAACTTTTCCACTTTGAGAGCTCTTGTGTGACTCATCCCTAGTCATTTCAGATCAAACAGCTAACGATCTCTATTTTGTACTACCACATAATGATCGACAAGGTGAGGTCTTTTTCTTTTCTTCTGTGCCTTTACACAAGTGTGACAGATGAATAGTGCATGATTTGGCATGAACTGTGAAAGGAACGTTCCGTGCAAATATTTGAAAACTTCAGGTTGCCGGTGCATTGGTAGCTATATTCTGGTGGTACATTACTTATCATATTCTCTACCCGAATGGTTTCCTGCAACCACCTATTCATCGCATTAAACCACCAACCATAACTAAACGACGATAGAGATTTTAAAATGTAAAGTTTAGGTTTAGACCGCATTTGTTTTAGTCTCCTAAAGTTTTTGATTCTTCAACAGTTAAGCGTGGGGTCTTTCATCACCAATTTGAGTCGTCTAATCTTCTTGACTGAAATTTCATTAGATTCTGTACAATGGTTGTAAAATATTTTAAGTCTCCGGAATAGGCCAAGTTTGAAGTCTTCGAAATGGGCCAGTTTGAAATAAGTTAGGGAAAAAGATGCGTTCTTCTTTGCATCGATTTTTGCCAGTGAAACAGAAAATCTTAGCGGAGTTCAAACCGTATTTCCATAGTTATTTAATTATTGTACTTTGCTTTTTGCTTTTAAAGGAACCTTGTCGCTTCGAGTTTTTTTAGCTAAACAAATCATGGTAGGCCAGTAATTAGTTATTATAAGTATTTCGCCTCGAAGCCTTGAGTGTAGAATTACGGGAGACAAAATCACTATGAATGTTTTATGTTAAGTAGTCCTTTTGAAGAGTTGTAGCCCTCTAGGAGTACTGTTTTGCCTTCTAGGCTAATGCTGATAGTGATATGTGAAATGTTTTCCTCGTGCTTCTCTTGTTCATCTACTTGCTCGTCAAATGTACAAGTCAAATTATACCTTGCTTAGTCTTAAATGTAGGTGTTAACTTCAACGTTTTAAGGGTCCAGAGATATATTGCAATAAATATTTAATGAGGTTTGTGGATACGTTGCTTCTCTGAGGTGTTGTCGAACCACTTCAGAAGTTAAAATAGGACAAATATATACACAGTTGGAGCCTCTGAGTGAATCCCCTCCCACTTTTTTTTAGGAGGCTGACTGAGCGAACTTGAACCTGTATTTTCGGATAACACAATTCTTTTTTTTTTTTCGTTCTTCCCAAGTAGCTCGTCAATTATGGCCCCGTGGTAACATCACCTGTATCACCTGTCGTCCCGTTGATCATCGATTGCTCGAGCGGGCGCCAGCAACGTCTCCATTCGTCCCTGTCGCGTGCTAGAGTGGTCCAGTGGATCCTCCTTGCTCGAGGGACACGAAGTCCATCATTCCTTTCGTTCAGAGCTTTCGTGAAGAAGTCTGACCATCGGGCCGGCGGTCATCAGGTGTTCGTTTGACGTCCCGAGGCGCGGGATCGAATGCTTAAGAGGTATCCCTACGCTGAGTGTAGAACGAGGGTTCCGCACCGCCCAGGCGCAGCACGACTCAAAAGTTTGCAGGCAATGAGTGCTAATTGTAAAGACAATTGCTTTAATTAGGGTTGAGCCCTCTCGCGGCAGAGTATCATACTTTCACGCGTTTTGCCCTCTTTTCCTCATGGCGCTGTGGTCTCTCCTTCATACCACGGACTGATCTCACCAGGGAATTTCAGTCCTTTTATGGCGCTTTTTGCTTTTTCTCCCCATTTCTGTTCCTCATCACATTTCTTTTCCAATTAAATAAATTACCCCACCAATTTGATCCTGACGCGCGCCTTTACATTCTTTGTTATCATGATCTTTGATGGTTGCTGTACACTGCAAAGCTAAACACAAGACATCTTCTGCGATGATTGTGTTAAATCCACGGGTTGCGCCAAATTTACGATAAACGAATACGACTTTATCCAGGACTTTCCGAAAAATGTGGAAACTCTTCATATTCGTTCGCAATCATTTTCCATGAAAACGATTTTATGGTTACATAGGACAACCTTATTCGCGAAGGGAAAGTGCCTGGGGCCGTATGCTGAATGTTGGGAGGGGACGGGGATGGGTGAAGGTTGGGGAGGTTCGTCGCAGGACCCACTGGGCAACGGCCGCACCTTTGATTTTGCAGCTTTGTTTCCATTCTTTCATCGCTGCTTTTGGGATAAAGAAAGGTATTTACGTGCGAATATACAATCAGAAACAGTAAAAGGATGGAAACAAAGCTGCAAAATCAAAGGTGCGACCGTTGCCCAGTGGGTCCTGCGACGAACCTCCCCAACCTTTCCCCATCCCCGTCCCCTCCCCAACATTCAGCATACGGCCCCAGAATGAGCACTTGTCCCGCATTGTCATCAGGGCATCATTTTTTCTCAAATTAACGTTCTGTCAAAATTGCAAAGCTGCTAAAGCTCGCAGTGGATTGAATTCTGTTTTTTTATTGGGCTGTTGTTTTCCAGGTAACAATTCTTGATATGATGAAAAAATTGCTCACAAAAGTCAACAACAGAGATATTATAGTCCGAGAAAGGGTCAAAGTTGAAGAAACAGCACGTTTCCGGCAGGGAACAGTTAAAATGTGCACAAACAAGAGCTAAGCATTTTAGGGGATTGCTCAGGGGCAGTGGCCGCAACACTGCAAGTCGCTGGAGGCTCCTATACCATCAGGGTAGGTCCGTCAACTTTTCTCCAACTGTTCTCGATCACTGTTGCGGCATGTTCGACGTGAGGGGGTGGCAGGCCAAAGGGACTCGGTAGACTCGATGTATAAATAGGTTACACGCATAAGTTACTCAGACAGTACTAATGCGAGGAAGAAGTACTATTCAAAAGGAAAAGGTGATGTAAGGGCAGAAACTTGATGAGTAGAACTGCCCAGATTACGCTCAAAATGTCCTAATTCAAAGGGATACACGGCTTTGTATTCCTGTGGTTCCACTCTGCAGGAGGTCCTATCCACATTCCAAGCGGTATCCGACAGGAGGCCCATCGCGCGGCGAGAAGGCAGAGACGCAGAGGGCACAGCGGATGAGTCGCAGTGCGTGCTGCCGCGACTTAGCGTCAAGTTAAAGGGAAGTCTTGGGACAAAACTGGTAATAAACGCTTCGTAGTGATGAGAGATGGTGCTGCGGAACGACCTGAAAGTGGAAAGGAAAGCAAGAGAAATCTTGGGAACGCTGAAATTAAGGCCTTAACCTTCAATAAGGTCGGATGTGGTACGATGGCGAGACAGGGCGATCAAAGAAGACAAAATACGCGAGAGAGTCATTTGAGAGCACGCGATCTGATACTCATAACGTGGGGCGCTGCAGACTTTGGTCGATGGTTGCGGACACAGGATTAGGCCGCTCATCGCCAATTTTTGCGGCGAAGCTGGATTGATCTGGGTAGTCACGAACCTGGCAATTCCCCCGCAGCATCCTTCTCCTGAATCGGGCTACTGTCAAGGTTTGCCTCTGAGTATAATGTGCAATAGTACGTCCCACATTACACGGCTCACGCTGCGACTCTGTCGCATGATCAGCTGGTCTCTGCCCTTTTTCGGCCGCGGGACGGCTCCTGTCTGTAAGACAATTTAAGCATTGTGTGGTGAAGGTAGATGCACTCATTTTAGACATTACTGGCGTTCCATCAATTGAAATCCAGGGGCGATGATATGCAACCAATTCAAGGCGTACATATCTCATGCTATTGGCTGTGTCATGTAGTTGGCTTCCAAAGGGATTGCAGCCGTTTATTGGAAGGCGTTTCTCAATTGTTCCTGAGTGATTGGATGCGCCTTCATTCAGAGGATTGATGCTGATTCTTGCAATTTGATGTTCATCACCATCTTCGTCTGCGTCATTCACAGCCGTTAACGGCCATCATTCAGCTCCAATTAGCATGCGCATGCCTTCGCTGAGGACGAGCCATTATAAGCGAGTCAATTCCACCGTAACCCTACAATTGCTGAGGCGAGCAGCATTGTCGCCAGAACGACGTCATCACCCGAAGACTGGCGACATGAACGAGTAGCTGCAGTTTTAGAGCGCCTATACCTAATGCTATGTGAAGGCGTGGCTGTGGATAGTATGAGATGTGGCCGAGACTGTGAAAGAGGCTCTCTGGAAATTTTTGAACCATGTTTTATACATACTAAAAGCGTAATCCACTTCTGTTGTGTTCCATCCATCAGCAGTTATGGCCCCGAAGTCATTCAATGTTTTTAAGCGCCTTCTCCGATTTTTCAATAATGGGGAAGCTTTCCACAGGACCGTATTGGCTAATGCATAGGCATTGCTTAACAGCAATCTTAGGATTGTTACCTCGGAAGCCCTATCGTTTTGCGCATGTCTCCTGATAATTTAATATCAGCTAGAGGCCTCGGTAATCCAAATATTTGTAATTTATCAATAACACGAAGAAAACTAAATCACAGCTAGACAGCATATCTATTTAGATAGCCACTTACTCACAAATTCTAATCGGAAATTTCTGCCCATCTACGCTGTTATCTGTCAAGTGGAGCTTTGAAACAGAAGGCGGTTACCCGAATTAGATAGCAGATAGGGTGGTCAGTGGTGTCAGGAACAGGTAAAATACTCTAGGAACTGTGCCATAAAGGTGGAACTGGAGACGGCCTTTCTTGGCCTTTTTTCCGGCTTGACTGCGACACTCAGCGGTCCGCTCTTCGACGCTGACCTGTTCTGGCTAAACGGCTAGAGACTCGCGGGCGAGTGGCTAGCTAGTGGCGTGACCGGCGTTGATAGCGGAGAGGAGACGAGTCAGTGGCGGTATCGTATTTGCTCGAGGAGCGTGGTAGCTATACCTTAAAGGAATCTTGCGCGGAAAAATCATGATTCTATTTCAGCCATAAATCACTGGCTTGAGACTCATTATCCACGATAATAGTGAAAAGAACTGAAGTATTGCTTTCGTTTTGATTAGAAATTCGAAAACTCGAAAAGGCTGAATTGCCCACGGACGTCTTTCACGAATGCTGGCGACGGGGATGCTCAAACTTGGTTCTTGGAGTGCATTCACTAGAAGCTCTTTCTGGCCTTCTGCTTCGTTGCATTCACATCTTACACTTCTACTCCATCCTATTCCATCGATCGATTTGTCTCCACTCTCCGAAATCGCGCGCTTTAACCCGATTCTCTCATTGCGTCGCCTGGTACGTAGCCGGCCAAACGCCGTCTTCTTTCCATGCCTCGCCTGGCTCTGCCTCCTGGTCCTTCGATGGTCCATAACGTGTAGTTTTTGTACGTTTGTTTCTCTTCAGAAACCGAATCTTCATGCGTGAAACTTTGTGTGCTATTTCCAGTGATCACAACTG